CACGAGCCATGCCATAAAGGGCACACTCCCGTGGCTGTTTTGTGTTAAAGCCGAACAAAATTAGTCAAATGGGTCCTTAATATGTGCTTGCCCATGTAGATATTTTGTTTACGAACCAGGGGTTTAGGCAATTCTCACTCCTAGTCTCCAAACCCTACATGCCCCCCTCAAACTGTTCGCAACGACTGTGTAGAGTTGTCGTTCGCGAGCTGGCTGGCTGCTAACCACACTAAATGGAGCCACGACATTGAGGAACATGAGATGAGCTTCCCGATTACGATAAGTTGCAGCTTGATCTTGCTACCTATTGGCCCAAATTTTGGCAGGGTTTTGGTGTAGAAAATTGCTTTTTTTTTGCACGATTGCGCCCAAAACTAGACAAATTTGATGGTTATATGTTAGTACTGACATGGACCTGTTTATCGATGTACATGGCACTTCTCTCAGATGTACCTGTACGCTCTATTTATGGTCGTCTCTACAACGTGTGGAGAATCGAGACATGTTTACGAAGGTGTGTACACGCTTGGAGAACACGGCGAGGGATACTCTTACCCGACATGGAGGGCAGCATGATCTTAGGATTAGCCCTCCCACAGATTAGGCGTCATACAGTCTTATGATTACTTGTATGTCGCTTTTTTCCCTAAGTTTGAACTTGGTTTGGATGTGTGCATCTTAGTTATGCAGAGGCCGGGTCTTAAACCTTTTAAGTAATAAAGCGCCCCTTATCGAAAAAAGTAGTGACAGGAGAAAAGTGATAGGAATGATAGTTTAGGGGTCGTGATGATTGTTGCCTTAGGTCCATGGGTGGTTTGAGGGGGTAGTACTGATGGTTTGACCAGAAGATAGAATCCTTAAGTTAATGTATGTCTTCTAAGTTTGCTAGTACGTTGATCAGATCATACCCACTCCTCCCATAGTCGGCGTGGCTTCTCTTCTCCATCAGCGGTAGCGGTCAGGACCGGAGCCAGAAAATGGTGATAGAGGGGTGGGCGCTTGAACTAGAAGTATCGATCACAATCACACTCATATATCATGGTAACTATCAGAAGGTCTAGTCGTCTAGATTCTCAAAACATGTTTGATGTTCTACAATATGAATAAAATTTTATCTGTATTAATCTGAATTTGGCTCTACACCACCATGATTAATGGTCTTAGTAATTTATTCTAAAGTAAATTGGCTACTAGTCCGAGTTGGCTTGAAAAAGTTCTCGATTGAACTCTTCCTCTTCATGTCTACATAAGTAGTTTATAGTTTTGTAGTTTTAAGACACACATCCTAACAAAATTAAATATAAAAAATGATGGTAGGAATCAAGACTAACTATTATCATGCGTACACCCACTGAGACTAATATGTTTGTGGAAACCCTCTCTCTTATCGGCCTACCATAAGCCGTTTGCACGAAAGCTAGGCGTGTACATCGCAACTCGGTGTCCACAAGCACCGAGTGGACGAGCTAAAGGCCAACGGCGGAAGACCGAACATGATGACCAGTCACATAGTTGGTTGGTTTCTCTATTTTACGCTATGTGTATGGGAGAGGATTTGTGGCACACAGGGACAGGGGCACACAGATTTGGGGCCACTCGATTGTCTTGTGATTCGCAAATTGAATTGGTCCTCCGCACGTGTTTAGGGCTTAACTCATGTAAAGGGGTCCACAAATACAACTTTTAGCAGAGAGTGCATGGCGCACTCATCCCACCTCCCATGCTTTTTTACTTTTAATTTTGAATTTATTATATGTTTTGCACAGAAAGTCCAATTTATATTTTGTTTGCATATTTGTGTTTCTTGTGACGATGGCATTGAAATAAGACCCATTTTGAATATGTTTTTGACACGGTTTTTAAAATTTTGTTTGGTTTCCATTGCTGAAACTTAGTTGAAATGAACGATAAAATCAATAAGTTTCATATCTCAAACTTAAAACCAAGTGGGGCTCCAACGTTTTGACAAGTTTTAACAGCTTTAGCAAGTTTTAAAATGGTAAGTTTCTAAAAAGCAAATGAAACTTGGTACAACTTTGTAAAACTTTACGACTATCAAGTTTTATATTTTGAACTTGGTAATTTTTTTAAATGGGAGTCTAAATTTATTGAAAATTTGTATTATTTGAATGTACTCGTTGTAACGCTCGTGAATATGCGAACGAAACTTGTTTTGGACTTCGGTTTAAAAGATACAACAAATTTATGTTTTAAGATAAAATGAAATGGCATGGGTGGTGGGAGAGTGACGCATAGCGAGTGCACTTCAAGAAAATGGGTGGTCTTATGCGTGCTACGGACGTGCGTGCCACTGCGAGTTTTAGCTATGTGGATTAATAGTTAATGGGCTTTTGCAACATTCCGCTGCCCAACTTGGAAGGGAGGGGGCAATAGCCTGTCTTTTTGAAGAAAAAAAACAGAAAAAAAACTAGTCAAAGGCCTGAAAGAACTAGAAAGCAAAAAAAATGAAATCAACAAGAATGAACAAAAATAAAGTCAGAACCAATTAACTGAGTCGATCCATTTGCCCTCATTGTGGGCATAGCCTTGCTTAGTTGACTCACATATCATGTATTTAGAAACATTAAATGTGTATTGAGAAATATTCAAGATGTATAAAAAATGTAGAATACTAATGAAAAATTAGACATGTGGTGACACAAGAGAAAAATAATTTTAAAAAGCAAAAATAATAAGAAACAAAAAAACCAAAGGAAACAAGGAAAGGGGATATATGAAGAAAACGAAAACAAAAAAAAAGACAAAGAAAGCCGATGCAAACTAGTGAACTAACTGACAAGAAAACACACAAAAAACTTGTCGATAGGCGACCCAAATACTGTTGCGTTGTAGGCGAGTTGTTAATAGGACTTAGTACGGGCGACATATGGGGGAGCTCAGAGAGCAAATAATCAGCGGGGCTCCTCCTCAGCTCCCAGTGTGCCACCACGTGTCCCGCGCTGGTTGCATCCTGAGGGAGCATGTTTTTTTTTTGTCTTTTCCCTTGCTTTGCTAGAATTTGGTGAGAAATTTTTTTAGGTTTCACGAGTGTGCTTCTCAAAAAGAAAAAAAAATACAATTATGATTCCAAATACGGGGAAAGGACAATTTGTCTTCTATGAGAAGCACATTTGTGCTCCCCTGTAAAAAGAGAGAAACACAGCATGTGCTTCCAAAAAGAAGTGAAAACCGTAATCATCCTTTCGGGCTATGATTTCTTTCTTGTGGTTTTTATTCCATTTTTGGGTTTTCTTATTCCTGTTTTTTCTTGAAGAAAAAATATCATTGAAACATATAAAATAGTCTGAATAAACTATGAAAAAAGAGAAAACTCCTATATTGTGACAAGGTGGGGCGCATGCTGTGTGCCACTTGTCAGGAGCAAAGAAGGTGGGGAACTCCTATATTTCGCTATTATACGCGTCACGCGGTAGAAAGCAAGCAACCGGCTCCCCTCTACTCGTCAGATCTCTTTGGGTCGGCCCATCTACGGACCGGGGGCCTGTTTTTTCGTTTTTTGTCTTTATTTCTTTTTCCCTTTTTAAAATAAAAAATGGTCACGAATTCCAAATTCAGAAAAAAATAATGTTTTGGTATTTCAATAGAACTAGTGAAATTAAAAAAAGTTTACATATTCCAAATTCAAATAATTATTCTGGATTTCAGAAAAAGTTATGAAACTAAAAAATGTTTGAAATCCCAAATTCAAAAAATGTTTTGGATTTAAAAAATTGAAATTCAAAAAAGTTCATGATTTTCAAAAAGTGTTCATGATTTTGTAAAGTGTTCTAGAAATTCAAAATTTATTCACAAATTCTGAAAATCATTCTATGATTTCAAGAAAATTCATTAATTTCTAAATTTAACGAATTTGAAGAAATGGCCCTGTTCTTCGTAAAATGTTCATGAATTTGAAAATATGACCTTGTATTTATAGAAATGTTCACGAACTTGGTTTCAAAATATATTCATAGATATAAAAAATGTTTATAGACTTATTAAGTGTTCTCAAATTTCATAAAACGTTAAGGAATTTTAAAGTTTTCCCGTATTTCAAAAACAAATCACGAATTTAAAAGTTGTTTCCATATTTCGAAAAAAACACTGAAAATGAAAATAAAAAAGTAAAATAAAGGAAAAGAGAGAGAGAGAAAAAAGAAAAAAACAATGAAAAGAGTAAAAACCGGTTCGGGAAACCACAGAAAAAACACAGAAGATACGAAATGGCCAGCCCAGTACTGCAGGCGTGGATGCATGTTTAGTCGTTATCCTCGACAGGTGCGGTGAATAGGATCTGACGACATGTAGCTCTGTGGACGGACAGTGAGTCCGATTTGCGGCACGGTATTGGAGATGCCCTTAGTCGCTTCTCCATTTTTCATCTTATATTTCATATATGAAACATCTACACAGAGAATCCTCTGGGAAAAAAACTTATTTGACAGATACCCAGAAATATTTCCTCTAAATGGAGTAGTCACCAGTTGTCTATAAATTGCTCGCTGAATGATGATTCTACTCTAATGTTTTTAATTCTGATGATGAGTCGCGCGCCCTGAAAGCGTCGAGAAATCATCAATCGCCGTGGCACGCCACGCACGTTGTGTGCAGGGTGCATTGGCATTCTAGCTCGAGCTACTATCCACGCGTCCGCGCGCGGGAGCCGGACACCACGACTCGGCTACACTGCTGCACCATGGACGCAGTCGACTAGAGCTTGGAACTGAATCTACATTCACCGCATGAAAACATGGACAAAGATACACACAAATGAAGATGCCATATTGACACCATCAACGTACAAAACAGCCACCGCAACTAATCACAACTCCCACTAATGGCACACAGTACAAATCAGGTCCCCGATTATTTCGCCACCAGCAGCACGAACTCATATAGTAGTACATCTCCGGCGCGGCGCACGCGGATCACGGGGCCGGCACGCACGGCCCCGCAGCTTATTGCTACCACCACACAGTGTGAGGCCGGCGTACTCGGTCTTACTCCGAGGCGGCGGCGCCATCGGCGGGGCAGCGGTCGACGACGGCCTCGAGCTTGTAGGGCGCGGCGTCGGTGGCGAGCCACTGCTCGACGGTGAAGAGCTGCTGCGCGCAGCCGCGGTGTGGGCCGGTGACGGTGACCTCCACGTAGTTGCAGTACCAGCCGTGGTGCGCGCCGGTGCCGTCGGAGGAGACCCTCATCCGGCAGGGCGCGGTGGCCATGCACGGCCCGCGCCCGCTGAAGATGTCCAGGTTGCCGCGCTCGAAGTAGGAGTGGCTCCCCCACATGAGCCCGCCCCACGACGGCAGGTCCGAGATGGCCACGCCGTCGGCGTTGCCCGCCGTGTAGAGCTCCAGCGTGATGTTGGCGTCCGTCCCGGCCTTCCAGATCGACCCCGTCCGCACGTACACCGTGTACACGCACTCCTGGCTGTCGCCGCCCACCGCGCCGCCGCCCTTGGTCAGCTGCGGATCCGTCGAAGCCGGCAAACGAGATGAGTACACGAGCAGAGTAGTAACCATGTCAAGAGGAGAGGATGGGAGGGGGAGGATGGTGAGTCACCTTGATCTGGGTCGGGAGGTCGCGGCCGTGGGCCAGCGTGGTGGCGGAGACGGCGACGGCGAAGGCGAGGAGGAGGGCGGCGAGCCGAGCCATGGCTGGCGGACGGATCCGAGTTTGATCGTTCGTGTGGGGATGTGTGAGATTGCTGGGGGGAGTGGATGGTATAAAATGGAAGTGGGTGATGAGGCCGCGTGGGGCCTTGGCTGGCACCGTGTGCCACCGTGGCGTCGATCCGATCCGGAAAGCTTTTAAAAACTGCGCAGTTTTGTCCCTGCTCGTCTGAATTAACCCTGCATTATTCAATGGACGCATCATGGCCGACAGAGGACAGACAGGGCCGTGCCACCCGCCCTCCGCAGTTGCTCGTTCCAAATATCTGCCTACTGTTCTCATACTGAATTCGAAAGAACGATGGAATAGCCTTGAGATCCGATCACAAGTAAGTATCATGGCAGAAGGTCTTAAAGCTGAAGATCTAGAGACCGTGAAATGTCTGCAAACGGGGTTCACCTTGAGGCCCAGAACCGATCCATACATTGTGGAATTTCAAGCCAGTTAGCATGACAAATACGTACGTATGATGGACCCAACTTGGACAAGAACAAATAAAGGCATAAGCATTGGAGACCATGAACGTGTCCCAAGGGAATCCCACAAGACAGGTTAGTGGTAAGCTGCACAAATGTAGTAGTACTGATAATACGATCAGGATCGCGGCAGGACTGGATCTGTTCATCTCCGTGGGTTGCTCCCATGTTGGCCATGTTATGCCACATGCCGCCACATTACTAGACATAATTGCCTCCACACTGGAGGCTTCTATGATTAGCAAGAATCCAAAGCGAATTTCGGACCATGGGCTAAGATTTCCATGTCACCAATGCAAATAACAGCAGGAAGCACAACCAGTTCAGTATTCAGGGATTCTTCTATGATACGCAAAAATCTCATGGGAATCTCATAGGTCATCCAGTTACTGATGGGCACAGGAAAATGTCCCTGAAGCAAAGGGGCCCTGAGTAACTTACTCGAAACATGGCTGGGCTGGAAAACATTTTAACGTATACAGCTTGCGAAACTTAATCCGTGCATGTCAGAGAGCTGCAAATACAAGAAACAAAACGATGGCAATCTGGAAGCCACGCGACGCAATGGTACAAGCAAAGAGATTCGATTCTACCTAGTGTACAGACCGAGTGCACCAGCACTCCCGGTGACACCCGTCAGTCGAATTGTTGCCGCAGAGCCATCTCAGTTTCACTCTTCCAAGATGCATGTGACGACTGCCCTCTCATCCTCTTCACTTTCTCCTTGTCTTTGACAGCAGAACCCTTCTTCTTCTCCGGCTCTTTTGCCTGCACCGGTCTGTCGTTGCAAACAGGGCATACCATTCCTTGCGCGTGTGAATAGGTCTTTGGTATACCACACTGGAGGCACATTCTACAATCGGAAGAGTTAAAAAAAGCTGTCAGGAGCCCTATATAAGACATAACCAGGAATGACAACAGATTGTACAAAGAATTCAGCCATATATATGCTCGGTATGCTTTTGATTAGTTAGTTCATAGTTATACTCATGAATCAAAGTGGCCATTTGTTACCTTAGAAGCTCGGCAGCATCTTCTGGACCAGGATTTGCAGCCCCTATTTTTCTCTTTCCTTCAACTGAACCTGGAGGATTGGCACCATTCTTCGTGTCACTGGTAACTCGTTCATGACCAGCAACCAACTGTGGTTTCGCCGACACAACAGCAACTGGAGATAGTTTTCTAGTCAGATTAGCCAGGAGATAACATGAATTTGGAATAGAATAATTAGCATGAGCATAAGTGCAGTACTAGGAATTTTATCAGATGCCAGCATATATGATAAGATGCTTTACTATCTATCCCATATTCAAGCATATTAACTAGCTATATGATATTTCACAGACTAGTAACAGAGCCGATCCTATTAAAAAGGGCACAACAATGTAACTTAGATGAACATTCAACAGAACCTGGAGGATTGGCACCATTCTTCACGTCACTGCTAACTCGTTCACGGATGGCAACCATCTGTGGTTTCGCCGCCACAACCGCACCTGAACATAGTTTTTAGTCAGATTAGCCAGCAGCCAACTTGGATTCCAAATATAATAATTGGCATGAGTGGAACTAGGGACATTATCAGAAGCCAACACACATGATAAGATCTACTTTAGTATGCATCTCATATTCAAACATATTTACAAGCTATAAAATTCTGTATAACAGTACAGATCCAATTCAAAATGGCCAATTATATCCATTTGATGTCCTCAAACAGAGTATTGCAGGTTTTTGTCGACCTATTCCGTTAAAAACTGCTTGGACAAATAGTTGCATGTAAATCTTTCGTGCAAGAAGTAAGCCAGATACCCAGGTCTATAGTCCTTCTAAGTGGTCTAGCAAACACACTGAAGTGAGAGCAGGTTACTAGTTACAGCCCAAAACACATCTATGCACTTCTCGCCTTATTTTGTGATGTGAGAATGGATGCCAATTCAAACATGCAATTTCTAGCCGCAGTGCATACATAGTGCACAAGTAGCATATACCAATAATGCGACTGCAACCCTCGTCGTGTACATCAACCTGCAAGGGAGCTAATATGTTGAACGCTCAACTAAAGTGAAAGACACATGTCTTCATCTGCATAAGTGTGTTCCATAACTCTTTTCTAACCTACATAAGCTGGCTATGCCACCATCTCGGCTTCATGATACTTGCTCATAGCAACAAAGCATTATGACATGTAAAATAAAAACAGAAAATATCAGTACCTTCCCTCATTCTACTCACTTAGTCACTTATCACAAACAAAAGACTGGACAGGCCTTTATAGTTCATACAACAAGGCACCATAAACACACCAACACAACTACAGATTAACTAACTTCCAAGTAGAACACAGACCAGTGCATTGTAAGTTACTCTAGAATACAATTGAATTGACAAACTCTAAGGCTCTAGCACCGAACGGTCCATGAACTGCCAAGCAATTGAAACAACTAACCTTATAGCGATGCAATTCTACAATCAAATGCCTCGAGACCACTAAGAAAGCTGACACTATAGCAACAACAACAAAAACTCATGTAATACGCTAACTGTACTCCTTAGTTGTACCATATCTGAACAACTGGTTCAAGTTTTGCCGAATAAATCCCCATTTGTCAGTGGCAAACACAGCCAGTTTTGAACAAGCACGATAATCTGCTGGAAAATTAGCAGTAGTTTAAACGTCTCACCGGGAGGTGGCGGCTTTCTCCTCTTGGAGTCGGAGCGGTGATCGAGCACGCCGAGCGCCTCCCCGACCTCCTCGGGCTGGGCCACCCTGCGGTTGAGGAAAGCCGGGGGCCCGGAGATCTCGGCGAAGACATCTAGCGCCGAGGGCAGCGAGGAGTCCCCATCTCCGGGGCTAGGGTTTACGCGGGGGCGGGGCTTCGCAGCCGGCTTCGATGGAGCGGACTTCTCGTCTCCGTCAGATCCGGCCTCTTCGGCTGATGAGTCGCCGGAGTCGCTCAGCTCGGCGCCGGCGCCGGCGGCGGGGTCGTCGTCCTCGGCGGAGGAGTAGCCCCCTAGAAGCGCTAAGCTCATCTCCGTGTGCGTTGTTCTTGGGCTTTCCTGGCTCGAGCAGCCGCAAATCTAGCAGAACTCTCTACGGCGCGGCGGAGCAAAGGGGGCGGCGAGGTTACGCGCGCCCCCCGCTCCCTCTTGCACGCGCTTTTCGCCGGCCCATGTGCGGGCAGGGCCGGCCGCCCCCGATTTTCCTTTTTTCTATTTTTCAAATAATTCGGCATTAAAATAATGCTCGTAATTAAAAACTGGAAAAAAAATTCGATAAATCATAACATTTTAAAAATACGCTTATGATTTTGAAAAATGTTCGGGTAATCAAAAAGCGTTTGTGATTTTGAAAAAAAAATCGTAGATTCAAAATATTGTTAACGATTTACAAAAAATATTAAGGAAATCATATAATGTACATGATTTTGAACAAATGTTCTCATATTAAAAAAATGTTTGTGGATTTAAAAAATGTTCATGAATTTAAAAAGTTCACAAGATGGAAAATTGTACACGATTTTCCAAAATTGTTCCACATTTCAAAAAAGTTCAATGATTCAAAAAGTGTCCATCAAAACAAAAAAATGTTCTTGAATTTCAAAAAATGTTCCCCAATTTCAAAAAACATGTTGGTCGGCTAAAATTCAGCAATTCAAAACAATGTTCATGAGTTTCACAAAATGTTCATAATTTCAAGAAACTATTCACAAATTTAAAAATTGTTCATTATTTTCCAAAAAAGTGTTCACGAAGTTGGGAAATGTTTATGATTTTAAATAATGTTAAGGATCTCGAAAAATGTCAGGAATTTGAAATGTGTTTGCAAAAATGAAAGAAGAAAAAGGAAATAGAAAGAAGTAAGGAAAGAAAAAAACAAGAAGTAAAAGGGGAAATAAGTAAAATGATTTTTTTTGAAAAAACAAACAAAAGGTAGAAACAAGAAAATATCTGGTCAGGGAACCTCCCCAAAATCGGTGGGGACAAAAACCGGGAATGGGCCGTCTCGTGGAGGCGCTCGTACTGGTGGGGTACGCGCTATGACACTATCCGGCGACATATAGGCAACTAACTAGGAGGTACCCCTTGCGGGAGCCCCTCAAAAGTCACTATTGGTGGGTTGAGAGCGCGCCGCACTCTAACCGCCTCCAAGTGTCGTATGTTTTTTTATATTTTCTATACGGGTTTTCGGCGTTTATATGTTTTTCATTTCTTTCCAGATTTTTGGTTTTCACCTTTTTTTTGTAGATTTTGGAGATTTATTTTGAAAAGTAAATATTTAGGAGCAAACATGTTTTTTCTTCCACAAGAGGCATGAATTTGCTTTTCATGGAGACACATATTTGCTTTCATGAAAGGCACTCGGAAAAGGAAAAAAAATGTTATCATATTTTTGCTTCTAAGAAATGCATAATTGTGCCTCTCAGAAAGTAAAAAAAAACATTTCAGTGACTTTCACGAGAGGCACGCAACTGTGCCTCTCGGAAAGTGTTTTTTCCTTCCATGAGAGGCACATTTATACTTCTTGTGGAGGTACGGATTTGCTTCCGTGAGAGGCATCATTGTGCCTCTTAGAAAAGGAAACAAACACTTTTTTTTGTTTCGCAAGATGCACATATTTGCTTCTCGTGGACGCACAGATTTGCTCTCGTGAGAAGCACCGTTGTGTCTCTCGAAAAGGGAAAAATACAAAAAAAGAACGTGTTTCCAGTGACGTTTTTTGGGGTTTTCATAAAAAAATCATCGAAACCTGTTAACATGAGATCTAGTTTCAAAGATCTCGATGTGAGGAATCCAACTATGAAAACGGGTTGGGATTTGGATGCACAGTTCAAGAGAGAAAACTCTTTGAAAAACTAATCTACCAAGGAAAAGAAAAATTCATAGGCTGCCATTTGTCATCCCCTGAGAAGGTGAGAGTTGTTGGGAAACGTAGTAGAAAACAAAAAACAATCGGCCTACGATCACCCAGGAACAATATGAAGATGCATAACGAGTTGTGCTCAACGTTTGTTGCCGACTCCGAGAGTGTAGTGGAAGTAGACGAGTCAGTGTAGATCGTACTTGGAGTCCCTCGAACGCTGATGATGATCCCGCGAACCGCCCTCGAACGATCCCTCGAACAGAAGACCGAAAGCACGGCCTCTCTACTTGGTTGCAAGCGTACAATCTTCACGATCCGGCAGCGCTTTGCCGTCTAGAGCTAATCGTCGCCGTAGAATTAGAGGGCGGAGTGTAGAACCACACGGGGCTTCAAATTATGAGGATTAGAGATGGCTAGGGCTCGCTCTAATTACTCAACTAGGATCAACTAGAACGTGAACTAGATCAACTAGAGGAGGCTTCAAAACTTATTTATCAATAGAGAGAAATCCTCTAGTATATATAGGTTAGGAGGGAAGGAGAGGGCAGCCACCAAGGGAGGAAAGCCTCCCTTGATGCGCCAGCCGGGGGGGAGGAGTCCTACTCCCTCCCATGATTCGGCCCCCAATAGGAAAGGGGGGGCACCTTACCTCTTGGTCTTATTAGACCCATTGATATTTAAATAAGGGTTTTTATCATCTATGCCACTAGTTGTGACCCACTACTTAATTTTGCCACTAGAAGTTTCAACTGCTAAAAAATTCCATCGCTTCGTTAGGCGCATGCTCAAAGATGCCACCGGCCATCATTACTGTGAGCTCAAATCTCGTTTACCCTATTATAATGACATAAATACCTATGGACCAACATGTCAGCTCTCCTTTATCTCACTACAGTAAAGTGTGGGTCCTACTTGATCCCAACAATGTTCTTATTTTCCTGTAAAATTGTTCGCTTGCTTACTCTTACAAGTGGGGCCCATACATATGATTGTGAGATAGAAATAACTGAAATGTGGGTCTATGGGTATTTTTGTCATACAACATGGTCAACGGGTTTGACCTGAAAATAACGATGTCCAATGGCATTTTTGAGATATCTAATGGCATTTTTGAGCAAGCATCTCACAGAATGATGGCATTTTTTAGCAGTTGTAACTTTTAATGGCAAAACTAAATAGTGAGACACAACTAGTGGCATAAGTGATAAAAAATCCTTCAAATGAAATATAAAATGTTCTAAATACTTATAGAGCATTACATATACTCCCTCCATTCCACTTTATAGTGCGTGTGGTTTCTAGCACTAAGACCAATGTATGACGTGGAGATGCAATTTATACCAAACTAGCCCTGCATGTAGGGTCTGCCTGACATCCATGTGCGCCAGGCAGCTGTTTCTCGCATGGTTGCAGTCGAGGGCTAATTCGCCAATACTAAAGGAAATATGCCTTAGAGGCAATAATAAAGTTATTATTTATTTCCTTATATCATGATAAAAGTTTATTATTCATGCTAGAATTGTATTAGCAGGAAACATAATACATGTGTGAATACATAGACAAACAGAATGTCACTAGTATGCCTCTACTTGACTAGCTCGTTAATCAAAGATGGTTATGTTTCCTAACCATGGACAAAGAGTTGTTATTTGATTAACAGGATCACATCATTAGTTGAATGATCTGATTGACATGACCCATTCCATTAGCTTAGCACCCGATCGTTTAGTATGTTGCTATTGCTTTCTTCATGACTTATACATGTTCCTATGACTATGAGATTATGCAACTCACGTTTGCCAGAGGAACACTTTGTGTGCTACCAAACGTCACAATGTAACTGGGTGATTATAAAGGAGCTCTACAGGTGTCTCCAAAGGTACATGTTGGGTTGGCGTATTTCGAGATTAGGATTTGTCACTCCGATTGTCGGAGAGGTATCTCTGGGCCCTCTCGGTAATGCACATCACTTACGCCTTGCAAGCATTGCAACTAATGAGTTAGTTGCGGGATGATGTATTACAGAACGAGTAAAGAGACTTGCCGGTAACGAGATTGAACTAGGTATAGGATACCAACGATCGAATCTCGGGCAAGTAACATACCGATGATAAAGGGAACAATGTATGTTGTTATGCGGTCTGACCGATAAAAGATCTTCGTAGAATATGTAGGAGCCAATATGAGCATCCAGGTTCCGCTATTGGTTATTGACCAGAGACGTGTCTCGGTCATGTCTACATTGTTCTCGAACCCGTAGGGTCCGCACGCTTAAGGTTACGATGATAGTTATATTATGAGTTTATGCATTTTGATGTACCGAAGGTTGTTCGGAGTCCCGGATGTGATCACGGACATGACGAGGAGTCTCGAAATGGTCGAGACATAAAGATTGATATATTGGAAGCCTATGTTTGGATATTGGAAGTGTTCCGGGTGAAATCGGGATTTTACCGGAGTACCGGGAGGTTACCGGAACCCCCCGGGAGGTATATGGGCCTTAGTGGGCCTTAGTGGAAGAGAGGAGAGGTGGCCAGAGATGGGCCGCGCGCCCCTCCCCCCCTTGGTCCGAATTGGACAAGGAGAGGGGGCCAGCCCCCCTTCCTCCTCTCTCTCATCTCCCCCCCCCTCCACGAATCCTATTCCAACTAGGAAAGGGGGGAGTCCTACTCCCAGAAGGAGTAGGACTCTTCCTGGCGCGCCACACCTTGGCCGGCCGGCCCCCCTCTCTTGAACCTTTATATACGGAGGCAGGGGCACCCCTAGAGACACAAGTTGATCCACGTGATCATATTCTTAGCCGTGTGCGGTGCCCCCTTCCACCATAGTCCTCGATAATATTGTAGCGGTGCTTAGGCGAAGCCCATCAAGATCGTCACCACGCCGTCGTGCTGACGGAACTCTTCCCCGACATTTTGCTGGATCGGAGTCCGGGTATCGTCATCGAGCTGAACGTGTGCTAGAACTCGGAGGTGCCGTAGTTTCGGTGCTTGATCGGTCGGGCCGTGGAGACGTACGACTACATCAACCAAACCCTTCCGTTGTCGATCTACAAGGGTACATAGATCATACTCTCCCCTCGTGTTGCTATGCATCACCATGATCTTGCGTGAGCGTAGGAATTTTTTTGAAATTACTACGAAACCAATAGTGGCATCCGAGCCTAGGT